GTGATAACTCTCTGCTCTGTTCCCCAGCCTAGAGTAGCAACAGCCAACATGGGACTTATTTTGCTAGCACACAGTGCTGGGCAGGGAAACCCAAAGGTGAGTGGTGCACCGAGCTAAGATGAAGATGTGCCTGGGAAGAGCCATCCAGGCAGATAGAAGAAAGAGGCTGTGATGGAGGAGCAGCTGTTGCTGCTGCCCGTGACCACTGCAGCATGTCAGTCTTGTGACAGCAGCCTGCCAACTTCTCACCAGGGCCACTGGCTGAGCTGCTGGGCAGGGAACTCAAGCCAGTGAATAGACCTATCCTACCAGGGACAACTGAGGTTTGGTAGGACCTGTACAAGGGATCTGTAATGGGTCTCATTTCTCCCTTTATATGTATACCTCGTTGTCTTTGCCAGCCTATGGCTCCTTCTTCTGCTCTCTTCATACAGCCAACTGCCTCCTGCTTCTGGGCCCAATCCTCTGGGGACGGCGGCCAGCAAAACTACTTCTCCTCAGTGCAGAAATGGACTTCAGCAAATTGGGCTCAAGAGCGATGCCCCCTCTAAGCTGTGGAGTCTAGTGAGCAAAAATTCTATTTTGTGAGCTACTGGCATTAAAGCTGTGAACGAGTGATTTGGCTGCTGCATAAATTAGTTTGCTCTGGAGCCATCCTTCCAGACCTAAGACAAAAATGTGTGAGCCAGAGGCTAAAAAACTGTGAGCTAGCTCACACTAACTCAGCTTAGAGGGAACACTGCTCAAGAGAGGAGGCAACTGCAAGGATGACAACAGCAGTGGCCCAAGTCACGCATGCTCAGGTATAAGCATGTAGCCGAGAGTAAAACATAACACGTGACTGCCACTATAACAGGTCCTGACAGACAACACTCATCTCTGGGGTCGATATTTTTTTTCTCTTTGAGTAACAGAAACCCAAAGTTAATGTTATTTTTTTTCACTGCTAGACAACCAGGAGGTATTTGAGTTCCTTTTCAAAAACGAAGTTCTAAACTGACAACTTGAAGTGGTAGCTTGTTAACTTTCTGAGCAATTGCTTGCCAAATGCTGTGACTGAGATTGGCTTTGTTCCAACATGGATTGACAGGAAGCGCTTCCATTTATCTTTGGCAAATGGAGAGCGAATGCAGTGTTTACAAGCCTCTTTCTGATTAAACTGGGGCACACCTTTCCAACCAATATTGAGTCACTTCTTGGAAGTTTTTTCCATACTCAGAGGCTATCCTCAAGTACATGGAAGACAGAAAGTATCAGCTGAGAATTTTCAGTTTCAAATAGAAAATATCTGCCATATAGAGAAAGCACGAGGGAACAGTCAGGAAGAAAAAAAATGCAAAGGATTATCTGCATTGAACCAAGGAAATATGAGCAGCCTAAATGTCAGAAGTCTGCACAGAAATGACATTTAGATGGCACATGGAGCTATTTGCTGCTGAATAACTGTTCTTCCACGCGATCTCTATTATTGCTATTTATTCCAAGAAACATCAAACTGCTAATATTGCATATGACGTTCTACTATTTGTTTTTACAAAATTTGTTACTCAAGAACATTTATTGAAAATGGTTTCATTTCAAATAGTGGGGCTTTTTTGCAAAAAGTACAGCATCTAAGTTGAAAGGTGCTGAACGTGCTTGATATCAGTAGTAAAGATGGGGAAAACCCTCTGGTTGTTGAGGTAAGGGAGGAGAGGAGATAGTGGCACATCAGTAATAAACCTCCTGGAACAGGGATCTGTATGTGGCACTGCAAAGCTTCATCCACACTCATAGTGCCATGCTGTGAGAAGATCATTGCTAGTTTGCCACCCTCTGGACCATGCAGCTTGATTTGTGGCCTCAAGCTCTCCTGTCAAATGTCACTGTTTCCCTATGCAACACTAGGACAGCCTGTAAGAGAGGAAGGGCCCTCTCCCCCTCTTACTGCCCAGCATGGCTCAAAGTGTCTCTTCCTGGAGTGCAAAATCCCAATAGCAGATGGAGAACTGAGATAATACTAAATTTAGTGAAAGAGTTGGGCAGGGAGGTATTGGGAAGATCCATTAGCTCTTAATCTTCAACACAGAGTTGAGGCCAAGATAGGACTCGGAACTTTTCTTCGATTAGGAGCCGTTACTAATAACAACTGAATTGTTAAGGCCCTCTATGTCAACAACAACATCAACGGCTAGGGATATTCTGGACATCGATATGGGCCATACTTTTGTTCCCATCTGAACATGGCCTATTGGGCCATCATTACTTCACCTGTATTTCTGATTTGTTATGTTTATGAGTTTTTATGATGTTGCATTGTGTCAATGCATCGGTGATCTGTAAGGGAAGATCTTGTCTCACTAACCTGCTAGTGTTCTTTGAGGGGGTGAACAAACAGGTGGACAAGGGGGATCCAATAGATATTGTTTACCTTGACTTCCAGAAAGCTTTTGATAAAGTTCCTCATCAAAGGCTCCTAAGTAAGTTCAAAAATCATGGGATAAAAGGTCAAATCCTTTTATGGATCAAAAACTGGCTGATTAATAGAAAACAGAGAGTATAAATGGGCAATTCTCTAAGTGGAGAGAGGTAAGCAGTGGGGTACTGCAGGGATCAGTACTCGGTCCGATGCTTTTTAACTTATTCATTAATGATTTAGAGTTGGGAGTAAGCAGTGAAGTGGCTAAATTTGCGGATGATACGAAGTTGTTCAGGGTGGTGAAAACCAGTGAGGATTGTGAGGCACTCCAAAGGGATCTGTCAAGGATGGGCAACTGGGCATCAACATGGCAAATGGGGTTCAATGTGGCCAAGTGCAAGGTGATGCACATTGGAGCCAAAAATCCTAAATATAAATACACATTGATGGGGTCTGAACTGGCAGAAACTGATCAAGAGAGAGACCTGTAGTAGATAATTCACTGAAAATGTCGAGACAGTGTGTGACTGCAATAAAAAAGGCCAATGCATGCTGGGGATTATTAGGAAGGGTATTGAAAACAGATCAGCCAATATCATAATGCCCCTATATAAATCAAGGGTGCGACCTCATTTGGAATACTGTGTGCAGTTCTGGTCACCACACCTTAAAAAGGCTATTATAGCTTTGGGAAAAGTGCAGAAAAGGGCAACTCGAATGATAAAAGGGTTGGAACACTTTCCCTAAGAGGAAAGGTTAAAGCGCTTAGGGCTCTTTAGCTTGGAGAAACGACGACAGAGGGGTGACATGATTGAGGTTTATAAGATTATGCATGGGATAGAGCAGGTAGAGAAAGAGGTAGTTTTCTCCCTTTCTCACAATACAAGAACTCATGGGCACTCAATGAAATTGCTGAGCGGTTGGGTTAGAACAGATAAAAGGAAGTACTTCTTCACCCAAAGAGTGATTAACACATGGAATTCACTGCCACAGGAAGTGGTGGCGACTACAAGCATGGACGGCTTCAAAACGGAATTAGATAAACATATGGAGCAGAGGTCCATCAGTGGCTATTAGCCACAAGGTATAGATAGGGGCTCTGGGGCAAGTGATGCTCTGTCTTCTTGGTGCTTGGGGGGGTCAACAGTGGGAGGGCTTCTAATGTCCTCCTGATGGCACTGGTATTTCTGGCCCCTGTGTGATACAGAGTGTTGGACTGGATGGGCCTTTGGCCTGATCCAACATTGGCGTCTCTTATGTTCTTATGGTGTTTTAATATTTTAACTTTTAATGTAAGCCGCCCTGAGCCTGCCTCGGCAGGGAGGGCGGGATACAAATCAAATTGAATAAATAAATAAATAAATGTTCTTTCTATCTAGCCATAATTGGATATAATGCTTACTCTTAATTTTGTTGGCTGGAAACAGAGAACACAGGAGAAACGTCCTAACCATAACAGCAATTTGACAATGCCACCCTAGCTGGAGGTCTTCAAGAAGAGGCTGGGCAGCCATCTGAAGGGAATATGCTAGCTTTTAGATTCCCTGCACTGAGCAGTAGGGTTGGGATTGGTGGACTTGAAGGCTCCTTCCAACTCTTGGACACTATGGCCAGTCCAACGTAAGGATGATGTTGTTGTTGTTCAGTCGCACAGTCGAGTCCGACTCTTCGCGACCCCATGGACCATATCCCGCCAGGCCCTCCTGTCTGATGATGTACAGCTGAGTAAAAGTATAACCCTGTCAGTTGTTGTTTCAGGTTGGCCCAGTCTGCAGTGTCTTTCGGCAGTGGCTGAACATAGCCTAACTCAAACAGGACACAGTATCTTATTCCAAGACACTGAAAGGCTGGACAACACCATGTCAGATTACACAGGGAAGCCATTGAAATTCATAAATGTAAACACAATTTCAACAGGAAAGAAGAGAGTTTAAAAATAAATAGGGCATGGTTTCCTGTCCTGAAAAACACAAAATGCTCTACAGCTTACAATAGCACTACAGATAAGATTAGAATTTCAACAGCCAATCCATACGCAGAAGAACATCCTCAGGAAAGCTCCTCCATTAGCATGTCACAGCCTGGGGAACTCCTACAAGATAATAACTCAGCCCTACATTAACTTCCTGAGTAGATAGAAATTACCGGCCTACCATTTTTCTTCTCACCTTGACACAGAGAGTACTCCATCTTTCTGTGTTATACCTCTGAGGATGCCAGTCACAGCTGCTAGAGAAATGTCAGGTCCTACAATGCCAAGACCACGGCCATACAGCCCGGAAAATCTACAACAACTAATGAAAGCCTTCAACAACATCTAGTCCTGTCATTCACAAATACTCATTGTTTGCTCTACTGACGTAATCATACATCATTTAAGAAGAGCCACATTATTGCTTTGCCTGGATATGTTTCAATGTTTTAACATAATGCCAAACAATAAATAAATCTTAATTTATCACTGCAGGAGCTCGAATGACTCTTAATTAAAAAAAAAACATTTAAAGACATATCAGCCACCAGTTTCTATAAACTAGGATGAGCCCATACTTCATTATAGGTATTCTGTTTGCTCAACATAGTCAAACCAAAAATCTCTTACCTATTTTTTGTCCTGTCAGCAAGCTAACTTTGCTTTCATCTGCCACTGGAGAACAGGGGAGAAAAAGAGAAACATACCAACGTAAGATGCTGCCCTAAATCAAGCAATTATTTAGCAGGTGCAAACAATTTAACAAGTGTGGTAAGCCTTTAATTTGTAAATAAAATAAAATTAAGTCTGAGATTTTATTTTGGATCTCCAGTTTGCAAAGCAGATGCCAAAAGCGAAAATCCAGTATTTACTAGAAGCAAAATAAAAGAAACGACGGCTGCATAATTTGTCAGCAGAATCATAATTCTCACTATGTTCTCAAAACAGTACCTCACAGAATTACACATACTTTTAGGAAACTAAAGATCATCAAAATGATACACAACCGCCTGCTCCAACAGGCAGTTCTATGTGCATGCCCTTGAGAGGTATGAGCTTTAGTTCCCCAGTTTGAGTCCTATGCCCAGTTCAGATGTCATGCCCAATTGGTGGAGCCTGTGGCTTACTGGCACATCCCTGTTGACCATCATGCTACCTGCATGGATCTTTCCCATCCAGGCTTACCAGGTCCCCTCGGTGATCCAGCGGGAAGATTGGGGGGGGGGGCATTCCAGGGGTGGGCAGAGACATTGCATGATATCATCACATCAGTGACACTCTGGTTTTTGGGTGAAACTCCATGGTAAATTCAGCCTCAAACCATAGGGTTTTGCCTCAAAACCAGAGCGGCCTTGACATGATGACATCACTTCCAGGTGAGGTCATCGCATCAAACAGTCTACGATGGGGAGAAGCCCCTGAAAGCGGTGGATCCCCTGCTCAGACCTAGGGGCTGGCAACAGGCCAAAACGAATCTGTCAGTACTCAGAACATTTAATGAGTTGTTCTGAAATCTAACAGAGGGGTTGTTAACTTTATCTGTGTCTTCTAGCATATAAGCAAGCAATTTATGCTCTTTCAAGGGACTGCATTACTGTTCCTTAAAACTTTGTATAAAGTTCTTTTTGCAGTAAAATATTGCCAATTCAGCGTACTCTCTTTTCACTCACTCTTCTGTTCCTTCCAGTTGTTCAATAATTGTTCAATAATTTACACAACAGTTTACACAAGATTTCTAACTAGATCAGCCTGGAAGCGAGAATAAGTAGTGATCCCCGGAGAGGAACAATGAGCTAATGTAGGGGAAGTACTAAAAAGAAGACTGTATTCATGCTTACAGCACAGTTGTTTACTTCAATAAATATCATTGTGTTAGCTTCACTGGTGGTGGAAAGTGCTTTCAAGTCACAACTGATGTATGACGACCACTGGTGTGGGTTTTCAAGGCAAAAGAAGATCAGAGGTAGTTTGCCATTGCCTGCCTCTGCGTCACAACTCTGGACTTCCTTGGTGGTCTTCCATCCACATAAAAACCAGGGCCAACCCTAGTTAGCTTATTATTTATTTACTTATTTGATTTATACCCCACCCTCCCCGCTGAAGCAGGCTCAGCTTCTGAGATCTTACACGATCCGGCTAGACTGGGGAAGCCAGGTCAGTGCTGGCTTCATTAGCAATCCAGTTTACTGTGTCCAAAATGGTGCGTGCAGTGAACTGTGTGTAGTACGAAAGTGAAGTACTTTAACACAGAACTCAACTACCATTTGAGAGCGTAGGAATGAACATGCCCTCAGGGGGCTTTCCAGTTTTAATATTTATCTCTATTCTTTCTGATTTCAGGAGCAAAGTTCTCAAGCAACAGAAACTGTTGAACAACACAGGGTCAAAGCAAAAGGTAATTTTAGACACATCAGAAAATATGGGTATCATAAAATAGCATTCTAACGATTTCACTAGCCTGTCAAGTGCCAAAAGGATATGGCTTAAAAATTCAGGGCTACCAACAGCTCGTGGTTTTACCTACAACATTTCTAAGAGACCAAAGTTCAGGTTTTGTTTGTAAGAGGAGCAACATGTATATGGAAGTAAATCAAAGCATCATTACAACACAACAGGGACAACGTTTTTGTTGTGATTCACAGTAGGGATAGGCATGAACCAAACCATGAACCTAAGTTATCACAAACTTGGCCTAGTTCATGGTTCACGAACTTGAGTTCATGCCATCCCACCCTCACAAACCCCCAAACTTCCCAGAAACCTTCCAGGTGGGTATGTGTGGTTTGTGTCAGCAGACACGCTGGCACCGATGACAGGGCTTGCAAAAACCATTGAAAGGGATACCTTTAAATGGCTTCTGCAAACGGCACTGCTGCCACCTAGCATGACTCACAAGCTAATTGAGAAGGCATTTAAAGGCCTTCCCAGTTGGAAGCAATTTCAGCAATTCCTTTCTCTCCCGAAGGGGTGTGTGTGAAAGGGGTTGCTGAAATGGCTTCGAAAAACCAATGAAAGGGAACATTCACCATTTAAAGGGAACATTCCCTTTAAATGGCTTTTGCAAGCCATTTCAGCAATCCCTTTTGCTCCCCCCCTTCCAAGTGGGAGGAGTGAAAGGGATTGCTAAAATGCCCATTTCAGTTATCCCTTTCACTCCCCTTCCCACTTCCAAGCTTGCAAGCCACTCCCTTTAAGTGGCTTTTGCAAGTGGGCACTGCGGCCGAGGAAAATAATCAGCAAAAAAGGGGGAGAAAGCTGGTAAATTAACAATTAGTCAAGCCTCCAGGAATACCCTTCCAGAAGGCATCCTAGAACAGGAGAACTTCTCAACATAATAAATTTGACTAACAACTATTCCTTCCATTCAATATGGCCATAATACAAAATTGTCTCCATTACTGTTACATTCTGGTTTTAAGGTTTCCTTTTTGGGCTGGGGTGGGGTAGGGTGGACGTAAGTGTAGCCAGAGTGCCAGACTAGGATCCGGAACACCCAGGTTCAAATCCCTGCTCTGCGACAGAAGCTTTTGGGGTGACCTTGGGCCAGTTGCTCTCAACCTAATTCACCTCACAGGGTTGCTGTGGAGAACAGTATCTTTGGGTCCCCCCACTGGAGAGAAAGGTAGAATATAAATGAAGTAAATATATGAATACATATAGATGGAAGAAATTTAGATGCTCTAGCAACAAAACAGGACACACACACACACACACACACACACACACACAGAATAAGAAACCTCCCCCAGCCAAACAAGACTAAACAAATTCCTGTATAGTAATCTATATGCAGAAGGCCTAACTGAAGACATCTTCTAAAAAGCATATTAACTGGCCAAAGCTCTGTTTTCCAAATACAAGCACTTCTAGCATGCTCTTAAGAATCAAAATACATTACTTTCCCTGATCTAAACATATTTTGCAGGAGGTTAAAAAAAATATCACTTGCTAGCTCTCCAGATGGCTATTATCCTTACACAGCCCTTTCAGCATAATAAAGATGCAGCACCATCAATTAATTTTAAGTCAATGATTGTGCCAATAACCGGACTCTCTAGCAGCTCTTGTTTCTTTGCTACACAGTTTCCTCATCTAGGCCTGGATGCGTATTACTCACGGAGAACGTGTCGGATTCTGGCTTGGAACCTTCTTTTTACATAGGACTGTTAGCTATTTTATCTCTAGGTTGCAGCTCTTTCTCTTGCATGTGACCCTTCTCTAAGCACTCATAAACATCAGAACGTTTCCAAAATATATACTATTGTCTTCTTTCACAAACATTTAAAGTACACATGGGCACTCATTTCACACATGCATTCCCAGACCTCTGGGTCAAGGGATCTTTTGTCTGTGCTTGAAATGAGCATAACTTGGACATCACCCTGGGAATGGGTTTGGAAAAACTGATACTGAGAGAGACAGTATTTAAGTTTTAATCTTTGTTAGATATTATATTATATTATGGGGCCTGGACAGCAGTTTTAGAACTGTTGCTGATTGGTTAATATTAAAACTGTGTTCTCGCCATCCTATATGTAGCACCTTATAAATATTTTATTATTTCAATCTGTTTTAAGTTTTAACGTAAGCCGCCCTGAGCCTGCTTCTGTGGGGAGGGCAGGGTATAAATCTAATCAAATAAATAAAAGAGAAGGAAAAGCAGGAAAACGGAGGTAAAATTTGGGGAAGTACTGAAACACAAATAGCTAGATGGCATGTAAAAATCACACTGGTGTTTGTGAAGTGAGCAACAATATGCAAATCAGAAGAGTCCTAGTGGGAGCCCTCCCAGTTACATTAAGTGCTCCTCCCTTGGGCTAGTCGAAAAGTTGGAATCCATCCTCGGTATTTGATACGACCAAACATTTTCCCGGGGGGAGGAGGATGGGGGTTAATCAGAGGGTAAGGGGTAAGACTTCTTCCACTGAGCAGCACTCAGAGTAGAGGAAAGGAAGGGATGGGTTTAGATGGGGAGGAGGCAGCGAATTAAAACAGAAAAGAAGAAAGTTTCATATACTGCCTGATCCAGGAATCTCAACACAGTGGAGACATTCTGAAATAGTGAAGGAGAGGGGTCTAGGTGAGAAGGGGGGTCTCTGTCCAGTGATTTCCAGTGGTGGAGGAGCAACCGTCGGGGGAGGGTCAGATCAAACTTTTACACCACTAAGCCTTATCCTGTAGTGCTGGAGAAACAGCCTGGAATGGAGAACTGAACCCCATTTGCTCATTTCTGGATGACCTCTTTATCCTGCTTTCTCTTGGCCAAATTCTATTGCTGGCATTTTCGGATTCTCTCTATCATTGGGCTAAATTTCCAGAATTCTATCTGCGATGAGGAAATTTGGAGTGGTCTCTAATTGAAGGAATGCCAGGATCTTTGCTCCTATTAGGAGATTGTGTAAAGGTGACAACCGAAAAAGCTAAAACCATTCAAAAATTGTCACAAGAAAGGAAAGGAGAATGATGGGTACCAAGTGGGGTAATGGGTAGGCGGGATCTTCTGAGTGGTACCCTGTCCACTTGAAAAGGCTAGGAGGTGGGTGATGGCCCTGGCTTTCTTTTATGATTAGATTTCCAAAGAAGTCTGCTGTGATGGACAGCACTTTAAAAGCTAAAAAGTGCTGTGTAAATATGCAAAGGACTATGAAGGTGGCTGTGGTGGCTCAAGTGGTTAA